AGAGATCGCCGTCGAGATCGCCGCCGCACGCGCCGCCACGCGCCGCCGGAAGGGAGAAGCTGCCGGAGCTTACTCGCACGCATGAGAGCGCGTGAACCGTCTGATTTCCGATCGGTCAACACCGTTGACTTCGCCGTGACGCCAGCTTTCTGGATTGGTCAAGTTTGTTCTATTCCGAGAAGATTTGATTTGCGGTCAACTGTTCGGGCCAGCCAGATCTACATAAATTTTAAGCAGTAAGTTTTCTTCATCAAACCTTTAGATCCGCTGTGCATAGGTTTATGTTGAATGTTTGTCCGTGATTTGTGCATATCGAGATCCTCATGGGTTCCAACACGGCCCTCGTCCGCTCGTGTGCACACCCCGATGGGATATTAAAGCCCTTGGCCTCCACCGGGTCCCAAGATGGGATATTAAGGCCCTCGGCCTCCACCTGGGAGAAATTAACTGAACCACAAATGGCATACTTCGACCGTTCGGGTAAATATCTTATTCACTTACCTTATACAGGATAACTGAAATGCGCAATGTAATACCCTGTAAAGGCTCCCACCTAATATACTGAAATATCTTGCAAGTTCTTGAAAATGAAGTAGCTGGCGGAGGCTCGACTCTCCTTAAGCTAGATAAACATATAAGCAAATAAATGCTAAGTATCATGCTCAAACATATGCTGAGATGCTTGGTTCTATATGCTTACTTATCCGAATGAAGTAAAATACTCTAAGGGTTCGCTAAAAATATACTAAGTCCGGATTTTACACTGATATGCTCTAACTGGACTGATTTGGCTCAGAAAAATACTGAAATTCTCCAGAACATACTCAGATTGGAAAAATCGAGCAAAACATCTCGAACCACCCAGTTGAACTGGACTGGTTCGCTGGCTAGACCGGCGGCTCGCCGTGAGCCGGTCGATCGCGGGTGGCTCGTCTGCCCGGGCTCGACCGCGCAGGGCCTGCTAGAGCTGGCGCTGGTGCGCGCACCCTGGCACTGGTCAGCTGGGCTCGGGTCTGGTGCAGCAGCGCGTTATCACGCCCTTGTTTCTTCGAACCTTGGTAGCGTGCGGCCTTAGCAACTTGTGCGCCCTTCACAGCTAGCTAAGTCAACTGCACTCGTGCTCGGATATTGCTCGGTGTGTGCTAGTACTTGGCTAGAGAATATGGCAAATATATGTAAGAGAAATTTTAATGAAAGCTTGTACTATTATTCACACAAACTTTGTACAAGAGAGCTTGGTTGTTGCTTGGATGATTTTTCAAATGAGGGGGCCTCTCCTATTTATAGGCACCACCTCTTCTAAGGAACCTTCTAGGTCCTACAAGGGTCTTGAGAGTTCTAGACCCTTCCCAAAAATCCTACTTCGTACACAGAAGTCCTAGATCCTTCTACACAACTCTACAAGGCTCTAGGCTCATCAAGTCCCTACTACATGTATCTATACAACTCTAGGGCCTTCTAGAAGCTCCTAGAAAAAAGTAAGCCTCTACTAAGGCATCTATGTTCAATACTTAGGTGTGTTGCAGCCTAAGTCTTCAAAAGGTCGGACAACCCCGTGCGCGCGCTTACTGGGTGCGTGTGCGTTCTCCGTGCATGCGTTCTCTGTGCCGGCGTGCCCGCGGGATGGCCCGAGTCTGCGCGGGTCAGGTAGTGCGGGGCGTTACATTCTCTCCCACCTATTGTTGCGGCATCCCCGTTGCCTTGTATCGTTCAATGGTATCCTGGAATTGCCATAAGTCTTCCTCGAACTCCCAAGAGGTTTCTGAATCGGGGAGGCCCTTCCACTTGATTAAGTATCGTGTTTTCAGTGGTACCCCTCGTCGCCTGACTATGTCGGATGTAAGCACCGCTTCCACTTCCTTGTCGAATGACTTATTAGTGATCGGCGGTGCCCTTGATGTTAACCCTCGGCTTGGGTCTTTCACATCCCTTTTATAAGGCTTCAACATACTTACGTGGAAGACGGGATGGATTTTAAGGGATGGAGGTAAGTCGACCCGATATGCTACGTTACCAATTTTCTTGATCATCGGGTACGGTCCCTCAAATTTTCGTATCAGTCCCTTGTGCAAGCTTCGAAAGGTTTTGAACTATTGAGGCAACAGCTTCACAAGGACTAAGTCTCCTTGGGAGAACTCTCTTAGCTTTCTCTTTTTGTCGGCCCACTTCTTCATTCTCCTGTGGGCCCTTTCCAAGTATGATCGCGCTAAGTCGGCTTGTTCTTCCCAAGTCTTGACCATCTTTTCGGCCCCAGGACTCTTACCTTCCTTGGTAGGTAGGGAGATTGTGTGCAATGTTAGTAGTTGTCGCCTTGTGACCACTTCAAATGGGCTTTGCCCAGTCGATTCACTCCTCTGCAAATTATATGAAAACTGGGCCACATCGAGTAATTTGGCCCAGTCCCGTTGATTTGCACTTACAAAATGCCTCAAATAGCATTCGAGAAGTGCATTGACCCTCTCAACTTTCCTGTCTGTTTGGGGGTAAAAGCTTGTTGAGAAATTGAGCTCGGTCCCCAGCAGTTTGAAAAGTTCGGTCCAAAGTCATCCTGTGAACCTCGGGTCCCCGTCACTGATGATGCTCCTGGGTAGCCCCTAATTCTTAACTACGTTCTTGAAAAATCCACAGCAGTACAATCTTTGGGGCACGGAATGAACGTCCCGCACTTTGAAAATCGGTCTACGACAACCATGATCGATCCATATCCCTCGGACTGTGGCAATGAGCTAATAAAGTCTAATGTGATAGAGTCCCACGGTTCTGCGGGTATCGGTAGTGGCTTTAACAGTCCTGCTGGGTGCCTGTTCTCGATCTTATCTTATTGGCAAACAAGAGAAGTTCTGACATATGTCTCCACATCGTCCTTGAGCTGGGGCCAAAAATAGTTAGTCTAGAGCAACGCCACTGTCCTCCGTTGGCCTGGGTGTCATGCCCACTTGGTGTCATGGCATTCCTTCATGAGGTCTCGCCTTATTCCGTCCCACTTTGGCACGTACATACGTCTCCCTATTGTATAGAGAAGACCGTCCTCTATCCAAAAACATTGGGTTTTCCTTTCCTTAGCAAGGCCTATTAGGGGCTTGGTTATGGGTTCCCGTTCGAGCCCTTCTCGGATACGGGAGAGCACATTCCCGTCAGCATTGCTGATGGCGACAAGTTCAGCCTTTCGGCTTAATGCATCTGCCACTACGTTTGCTTTACCCGGCTTGTACTCCAACGAGTAGTCGAATTCTGCTAGAAAATCTTGCCATCGGGCTTGCTTTTGGGGAAAGATTATTTTGGGTTTGGAAATAGCTAGTGGCCACGTTGTCCGTCCTGATGCTGAAATGTGCCCCTAGAAAATAGTAACGCCACACCCTCAAGTAGTGGATGATGGTTGTCATCTCCTTCTCTTGCACCGTGTAACGTCGCTTGGTATCATTCAGCTTCCGGCTCTCGAACGCTATAGGGTGTCGCTCTTGCATTAGTACTCCCCCAATAGCAAAGCCAGAGGCATCTGTGTGAACCTCGAAGGGTTTGGTGAAGTTAGGTAATGCTAAGACAGGCTCTTGGCTCACCGCGACCTTGAGGTCATCAAAGGCTCATTGGCACTCGTCGGACCATACCCACGGCTTACCCTTCTTAAGCACATCAGTGAGAGGTGCTTCCCTTGTCGAATAGCCATGTATGAATTGGCGATAATAGTTGACCAGCCCTAAGAAGGATCATAATTCTGTTATCTTTGTTGGCGCTTCCCACTCCGTGATCGCCTTCACCTTTGCCCCGTCCATTCTGTTTCGTCCATGGCCAATGATATGTCCTAAGAAGTTTACTTCTTCTTGGGCGAAAACGAATTTCGACTCTTTTACGTAAAGCTCATTGTCCCGAAGTACCTTGAATACAGTACGTAGGTGGTCGGCGTGCTCCTCAAATGTGTTGTTATAGACAACAATGTCATCCAAGTAAACCACTACGAACCGATCCAAGTATGGATTAAAGATCTCGTTCATGAGCATGCAAAATGTAGCTGGGGCGTTAGTGAGCCCAAAGAGCATCACTAACCATTCGTATGATCCATACCTCGTGATGCACGTGGTCTTGGGTTCATCCCCTTCGGCGATGCATCCTTGGTAGTAACCCTTTTATAAATCCATCTTGGTATACACTCGGGCTCCTCCAAGTTGATCGAATAAATTAGCAATCAAAGGGATGGGATAGCGATTCTTAATTGTTACCTTGTTGAGTGCCCGATAGTCTACGCACATGCGTAGTGTCCCGTCATGTTTCTTTTGAAAAAGTACGGGCGCGCCATATGGTGCCTTGCTCGGTCAGATCTTCCCTGTCTCCACGAGCTCCTTAAGTTGCCTCCATAATTCTTTAAGCTCGTGTGGTGACATACTGTATGGGGCCATGGCAGGTTGCTTGGTTTCCGGTTCTAGTTCAATCTTGTGATCCACCCCTCGCCTGGGTGGTAGCTTGATCGACAGCTCTGCTGGCATAACGTCCTTGTTCTCCTTAAGGACTCCTCGAATGATGTCGGGTACCTTTGGGGAATTCTCTTCAGAGTTGTCTTCCTTTAGCACAACTATGTATGTGGGTTCACCTCGTTTCGCCCCCTTGGCAAGTTGCATTGCAGAGAGTTGTTTGCTGGGACTCTCGCTGTCTCCTTCTATTGTTGGCACTATGCACGGGGAACCCTTTTGTAAGATGCAAACGATACTAAAGGAAGGCATAAGGATCGTTGTTACCTGTCGCAGGAAAGTCCATGCCGAGGACCACTTTGAAGTGGTCCATAGGTGCGATTGAAAAATTCACGTGTCCCTGCCATGTCCCCAAGCGTAACTCCACATTGCTCGCCGCTCCCTCTAGTCGACAAGCATTAGCATTAACCGTCTTTAACCATCGGCTTTTTGGTCCAAGATAGACCCAACCTTGTGGCCTTCTCCTTGGTAATGAAATTATGACTGGCTCATGTGTCCACCAGGGCCTTCGTCGGCTTCCCGTTAACCTGTGCCTCAGGGTACATAAGCCCCTTGCTAGACATGGTGCACCCGGGTCTGGCTTTGAGGGCATTTAGGACCTGCAGTGACCCCATCACCGTTGGTTCTTCTTCCTTCTTTTTGGACTCGTGTTGTTCCACGATTGCGGATAGGGAACCTAGCTTCGGGCAGTCTTTCATGGCATTTGGACCCTTACACAAAGCAGCCCCCTTTCGGGACAAATGCTTGCTTCTTCTCCTCATAGTTCTGACGTCCCGCGTTGCGATCCTCCTTGTCAGTTGCACGTCGGTGGTCTCGGGTGTCTCGGACCTTGTTGTCCTTTCTGAATCCCCCACCTTTAGCGGGGTACTTCTTGTCCCTTTTGGTGGCATCGGAAGAGATGATGAGCGAAACTCGATGAGGGACTCCGCGGCGGCAATAGCGTCGTCGACGGTTTTGACGCCCCGGCGTTGTAGCTCTTGCTTTTCTCAGTGTTGAAGCCCGTCCACGAAAAAGAATAGCGAGTCATCCTCAGACATGTTAGGGATCTGAAGCAAGAGGGTAGTGAAGTCTTTGACATAGTCTCTTATAGAGCCCTTTTCCTTCAGTTCCCTTAACTTGCATCGGGCCTCATACACTACGTTCTCCGGATAGATTTGTCGCTTGAGCTCCTTGACAAAGTCATCCCAAGTGTCTATCCGGCATGTGCCTCGTTCAATGTCGCCGTTCTTCTGGCGCCACCATAACATAGCGGTATCGGAAAGGTAAAGGGAAGCAGTCTTTACCTTGGTTGCCTCGTCGGTAAGGCTAATGCCCTCGAAATATTGTTGCATTCTCCACAAGAAGTTTTCAACGTCTTTGGCGTCCCTCACACCATTGTAGCCTATTGGCTCTGGACACTTCACCCTAGGTGCTTGCGTGGTGTTGTTAGTTTCCACACTAGCAATCACCTTCTTGCAGACAATGATGTCCTCGTGCATCCCCTCGATGAGCTCGTCGATCGCGTTCATAAGATCCTCCAAGTGATCCAAGAGATTTTCTATGGCGCTACGTGCATCAAGCCAATCGTTGATGGTGTCTTTGACGGACTCGAACTCCTCCAAGACGAACGTATCCAATTTCATGAAGGTGTACTCGACCCTTTCCAGCCTCTCGCCCATCTCTCTGACGGTCGTCTCTAACGATGAGACCTCGACGTGAACTCGGCTTTGGTCCCGCCGCTTCTTGTCCTTGGTCGTGGTGGTCTGTTC